AGTCTAAACTCGATACTTGTGTGAGGTCCACGGTTGATCAGGAAGCACGCCATGTTTACTGCTTCTGTCCAGAATCTTCTCTCTAATCCAGTATTAAAGAGCATGCACCGTGCTCTCTCCAACAATGTCTGGTTCATCCTTTCTGCAACGCCCTTCTGCTGGGGTGTATCTCTAACAGTCCGATGACGGGCAATCCCTTCATCCTTGCAGAATTCGTTGAACTCAGAATTGCAGAACTCCAGACCATTGTCTGTTCGCAGCTTCTTGATCTTCTTCCCGGTCTGACTCTCCACCAATGTCTTCCACTGCTTGAACTTCATGAAAGCCTCACTTTTCTGCTTCATCATGAAAATCCAAGTAAATCTCGAATAATCATCAATAATAGACAGAAAATACATGCTACCTCCAATGGATTAACTCTTGAAGGACCCCAACAGTCGGAGTGGAGGTAATCCAGTATCCCCTTCGTCCGGTGGATACCCTTCTTGGGAAACTTGCTGCGATGTAGCTTCCCAAACACACAATGCTCGCAGAATTCCAAATTCTGCACCTTGTGCCCGCAAAGAAGATCCCTCTTCGACAGAACTTGCATCCCTCGTTCACTCATATGCCCCAGTCTCATATGCTAGAGAGTGGTCATATCTTCCTGATGAACCTGAGACGATGCAACTGCAGCAGAACTAGACAACACAGACCCTTTTAATGCATACAAGGTCCCACGCTTCACGCCCTTCAGTACCTTCCTCGAACCCTTGTAGACATACATCACTCCACCTTTTCCTTTAAAGCTGAAGCCCTTGCTGTCAAGTAGACTCAAGGAGATCAGGTTCTTTGTCATTCGTGGAACATGTCTGACCTCATTCACGGTACAGAATGAACCATCATGTGTTCGAACCTTTATGGACCCAATTCCAACAACCTTGCAGACAGCTCCATTAGCCATGACCACGTTAACAACATCTATATGCTCGTAGGTTGTGAAGCAATCCCTGTTCGGAGACATATGGTATGAGGCTGCAGTATCCAGAAACCACACATCACCACGATGTGCCTTCTCATCTACAGCCAAGGCGAGATCGTCTTCAGAACTGTTGTCCACTTTTGCCATGGCAACTGAACCTTGTTTCTTCTGTTGCCCTCTTCTCCTGGGATAGTTGTACTTCCAATGCCCCACTTCCTTACAGTTGTGACAAGCATCACCTGGCTCTGGACCTGGACCCTTTGAATTCTTGCTCGAATTTCCTTTACCAGATTTCTTCTTTCCCTTTCCACCTGTAACAGCCAAACCCGATGCCTCACCATCTGTACTAGATCCGGACGCCTTATGCCTGATCTCTCTCGTATGAAGAGCAGACCTGACATCCTCCAACGACACGCTTTCTTTACCGGCAATAAAAGAATCAACGAAATTCTCCTATGAAATCGACAAAGAAACCAGTAGGATTAGGGCAGCATCCTCGTCATCAACTTGAACATCTATATTACGCAGATCCAACAAAATAGAGTTAAGCTATTCGAGATGTTCCCTCAAAGGCGTACATTCTTGCATCCTCAAGCTGAACAACCGTTGCTTGAGATGCAGCTTGTTGGTTAGAGACTTCATCATATACAGACTCTCCAGTTTCAACCACAAGCCCGCGACAGTCTTCTCAGCAGCGACTTCAATGATGACGTCATCAGACAATGATAGCATGATGGTCGAGTGGGCCTTCTTCTCCAAGGTATTCCACTCATCATCATCGACCGCTGCCTTCTTCTGTTTCGCAGACAGCTGCCCCCACAGCCCTTGCTGTTTCAATAAAGCCTGAATCTTGATCTGCCATATAGCGAAGCTGTTCTTCCCCGTGAACTTCTCGATCTTCATGTTCACCGACGTCATTCTTCTGAATCGAAAAACCTAGCTTGAATTCCAACCAGGCTCTGATACCACTTGTTATAAACGCGCTGCTATGGATCGGGAAATCGCTGGAATCGACAAAGCAAGAATACAAAAGCGAGAATCGAAAACACGACACACGATTTACGTGGTTCACTAACACGATGTGTGTTAGCTACATCCACGGGCGAGAGAGAGCCAATTTCACTATATTGAGGAGATTACAGATTACAGAGGAGTATGAGAAGTATTTATAGTACTTCTCCATGTGGGTCTAACCCTAATCCAATCTGGCGAAGGAAACGGTTACAGACCAGGCCCAGAACCCGAACCTAAAATAACATTGAGCCCATACACCGCGGGACCCCCGACTAATCCAGTCGTAGCGGCTGATAGTCCGATTCAAGTCACATCAACATGTCGAGCCATTAATTATATCACAATTAAGTATCATCGTCATATACCTCGTTTAGATGATATGCTTGACGAATTACATGGCTCTAGTGCGTTTTCGAAGATTGATATTAGATCAAGTTATCACCAAATTCGTATGAAGGAGGGAGACGAGTGGAAGACTACTTTTAAGACCAAGCATAGTCTGTACGAATGGTTGGTGATGCTCTTTGTTTTAACCAATGCTCCTAGCATGTTTATGAGGTTGATGAACCATGTTTTGAGGTCTTTTATTGGTTTTGTGGTGAATGCAGATGGAGTTAAGTTGGATGAAGAGAAGGTGAATGCAATTCCAGCTTGGCCTATTCCTACCAACATGAATGAAATGAGAAGTTTTCATGGGTTGGCTAGTTTTTATAGCCGTTTTGTGCCCAACTTCAGCACCTTTGCCGCAACATTGACCTCTATAATCAAGAAGAACATGACGTTCTATTGAGGAGGAGCTATTTTGGTTCGAGTGAGTGAAGTTGCGTAACTGTGATTGTATCACAAGTTGAATTTGTATAATAACATTAAATGTACAAAGTTTGTTTGTACTATAAAGGAATTTGTACGAAAAGTATAGACACGAATTGATTTTGTTCCATAAGGTTAAAATACATGTTTAATTTGTACTATAAAGAAATTTGTATGAAAACTATAAGTAGAAGAAAATTTGTACTAAAACATAAAGGAACAAATTCTGTTAGTATAAAAGACACCATTAAGTACTGTAAAATTCTCTGTCTCACTAATGTTATGTGATTCCTTAAACGGCTAAATAAAGACTTGTGACATGAAAATAAAAGCAAAAGGCAGTACAATAATAACTGTACCAGCTTGGCAGTTGTATCTCGAGTAAGATTTTTAGATAACTAGCTTACCTACTCGAATTAAAAACAAAACCTAAACCCACAAGACAAACAAAGATAATTAAAAAATATCCACTGCCTGTATAGCGGCGGCTTCGGTACCCACAACTCTAGAAGACTGATTCGGATTTAGGCGGTATTTAGGTAGTAATCGACAATGGAAGCGGATATCGTACATAATTTAAGCGTACATAATAATCAAGCATAACACTATACCGTCCAAATCAATTTTAAAGGACTATACTTTTTTGTTGCAAGTCAAAATTAAATAAAAATTATACAGAAAAATCAGATTAATTTTATTTTTAAAATAATATTCATTTTGATATATTTTGGAAAAAAAGATTGAGACTTTTACTACTACTCCATACAATGTGGTACTACTTGGTATCTCTATAAGATTATGCCACGTGGAACAAAAAGATTAATTTTATTTTTTAAAATGATATTCACTTTGATATATTTTGGAACAAAAAGATTGAGAGTTTATTACCACTCCATACCATGTAGTACTACATGGTATGTCCATAAAATTATGCCACGTGGTATGAAATTGTATCATAATTGTATGAATTTATCATAGTGTATAATGGTTGTATACATGATAGTATGAATGTACTAGTTGTCATTTATCACGTTTCATCATTGTCTACCACTAGTTATCACCCTACACTAGAGTGGTATAAGGTGTTATATTTGGTAATAATAGGGTAGAATGGTGCTATGAAATTTTTTCTCAAAATATATTTGAAAAATGAATGTTTTGGTTAAAACCCGAGTTTTATAAAACAATGGATTGATGATGGAATTAGTTCATTATGAATTTGAAACAAACCATTGTTTGCTTGTTGGATTTCATGATGGATTTTATTGAATTGTATGTGTTGGTTTAAAACATAATTTTCCTTATTGCTCTTACTTTTAATTATTTGTCTATACGTGAATCACTTACACGAAAGTCATGAACATTCAAACTACGTACATATATATACTAGACTCACTTGCCTTCTTTCCCTCATAACTGATACTTGTTTACTGGTGAAATGAGGACAACAAACTGATTACCATTAGTTTCGTCTTTATAAACATAAACATACATACCGTTAAAACAATTATACAATCACAAAACTAGTTGTCTTCTTTTTATTCGTTTTCATTGTGTACCGACTTTGTTTTTGTACAAAGAAAATAGAAGGGTAGCTTGGTAATTAAAAATATATGTGGGGGTACATGAGTAAAATACTATCATGGATTTGCTACCCTAACCCAAATTCCACCTCAAGAGGTGGAATTCGCAAGCCCGTGGGGTTCACGGATTTGAACTTTCAAAGTCCATGGGCCCGACGGATTTCAGCCCTCCAATTTCATGAAGCAAACAATGGACTTTGATGAAAGTCCATGATGAAATAGTTTTGTGCGCTAAATCCATCACCAAATCCATCAAGCAAACAAGGTCATAATAATTCAAGTTAGTTGACTAAACATTTCTTTAAGATTTGCAGAGGTGATATGCCTATGCTTTGCTTTTCAGTTCTCTGCTGTCTATGCACCTGAACATTCATTTTTTTAATAAATGGATGCAAAACATCCTAACCTTCATTCAAAACCAGCCGGGATTCTGAGATCCCCAAAGTATCATACAAGAGCCATAACTTCAAAGCATAATCAGTAACCGATACAAAATGAAATCCAATAGGCAAGTAGTCACCTCGAGAGGCAAGAAAGTCAGCACACTTATTACCCTCTCTGTAAACATGGTAGACTGCAACATCCCAGTCTTTCTGAAGGAGGAGCCGAAGCCGGTCTATTACCGTGGCATGCTAATGATTAGGGTTTTCCATGCCCCGGATGAGCTGGACAACACATCTCGAATCGTGCTCCATGAAAACATGTATGTATCCCATGTCCCAAGCTAGTTGAAGTCCTACCACAGCGCCTTTCAACTCTGCCTGGGTGATCGAACAAGCACCCAGGTTCAAAGAGAACGCTACCAGGCAGCGTCCAAGATGATCTCTGATCAAGCCTCCTGCAGTAGCAAGGCCTGACTCTTGTAAGACTGAGCCGTCAGAGTTGAGAGTAACCCACTCGGGAGGAGGCGACTTCCAAGAGATCCCCTCCTCCGTTCTGATGGGCGGATCAGGTCTATGGATTTTCCTGTCCTTGTCCAATGCAGTCCTCACGACAGTTAACCAAGCATGGACGCGCTGTAGAAAGCTTTCCACTGTAGTGACCTTGTTTGCAAAAACACGGTCCTTCCTGGTCCTCCACAGGGAATGCAAACGAGGCCAAAGAGCAAGCTGAACTGATCCTGCTTGAGGTAGTGTGAGAGCCAATCCTGCAGGTGGGATTCAAAAAACCGTTGGTATTCAAAAGGTTGAAGAAATTGCATCCAAGTTAACCTGGCAAAACGACAGTCTCGCAACACATGCAAGACTGTCTCGGGATGAGAATAACAATGGGTGCACACTGTCTGGTCCGTCAGGTTGCGTCGTCCTCTCTCTACATTTGTCATGAGCCGGTCCCGCACTGCAAGCCAAAGGAAATGTTGCACCCTAGCTGGTCCTCTCCACGTCCAGACCGTCCTCCAATCAAAACCGAGAGCCGAGTGCTCATGGCTGGTCACCAAGTCATAAGCTAAGCGAACACGGAATTGACCATTCTCTTCTGACCCCCAAATCGGCACATCATCCCCCACACCTGCCTTCGGCGGCTGAATCCCCTGCACCTGCAAAACCATATTTTCCGGTAAAAATAGTCGGAGTTGCTCAGTGTCTCACTCACCTTCCACCGTTGTGAAATCAGAAGCAGAGGCGTGGATGTTGGTCGGCGTATTCCCCTCAAGAACGTGATCCAGAAGCTTGTCCCCACTGTCCACCCAGCGATCCAGCCAGAAAGATGTGGTGCGACCATCTTTAATACTTATCTTCGTGCCCTTTGCCATAACTGGTCAGGCTTTCCGGATGCCCCTCTAGATTGTAGAGCTCCTAGCTGTGGATTTCAACACCATCTGCCCCTGCACCACTTTAAAATACTTGGCCTAGAGAATCTACACCCACAACTCATCTGGTTTCTTAATAAACATCCAAACAAGTTTAGTAAGAAACGCTATATTTAGTTCATGTGCCTTCCGAAGCCCTAGGCCTCCTTCTTTCTTTGGTCTACAGACTGCCTCCCAATGCACGAGGTGCATTTTATAATGCGATCGCGAAGATCCCCAAATGAAGTTACGTATTCTTCTGTCGATCTCGTCACAGATGGAGATCGGCAGCAACGTAGACTACATGGCATATGTCGGCAAGGTGTTGAGGACCGATGCCGCAAAGGTTACTCGACCTGCAAAAGAGACTCGCTGCCTTTCAAGTAGGGATGGAAACAAAACTCGAACCCACGGGTACCCACCCGACCCAACCCGGTCAACGCGGGTAAAATCCGTGTTGACGGGTTTTGGGCCGGGTTTGGGTTTAAACCCGTTCACTATTCACCGGGTTGGGTTGGGTTTGGGTTTAGGTAAACCCGGCCCGTGGGTACCCGCCCACTCATATAATTAATTTTTTCGATATATTTAATATTCTAAACAACTATTCTTATTTATTTTTGTGGAGACATGTCTAATTTTTTCTTTTTAATTGTGTACAATGAAGTTGATGTTATGGAGTGGAGACTAAAGAAACTTAATTGAAAGAAAGAAGCTTTCAATTAAACATGTTATTTATGGATAATTTGTGATTTGCTTCAATTTTCTTGAGTTTTCTAGATTGGTGTTGAACAATTTGCATAGTTAATTTGTGATTTGCTTGAATTTTCTAGAATGGTGTTTTATATATGGATAATTTGTATTGAGAGATTGATATTTGACTTTAATTTTGATAAGAACTTGTAATTGTAAATTTTTTACGACAAAACCCGTGGGTACCCATGAACCCTAGGATACCCAACGGGTTGGGTTGGGTTTGAGTTTTTCAAACCCGGTGGGTTTTACCCCGGGTTTTTTTCAAAGATAAACCCATGGATTTGGGTTTGGGTTTGGCAAAACCCGACCCATTGCCATCCCTACTTTCAACCAACCAGTTTATTGTCCATTCGGTTGAGAATATACCTGTAAGTCTCCTTGTTTACTCTACCATGCAGTATAGGCACACCGAGATAGCGTCCTAGATCCTGGGTGATCGAGATACCGGCCGCTCGAGCTATGGAGCTACTCGCCTGCTTTAAGACATTCTTAGAGAAGAATATCATCGATTTTTCCTTACTCACTTGCTCCCCTGAGACAAGACAGAACCTATCCAGGCAGTCCATGATGACCTAACTCTGTGACGTACTCGCCTCTGCAAACAGAATCAGGTTGTCAGCAAAAAAGAGATGATAAAGAGAGGGCGCACCCAGAGCTATGATCAGCGGCTTCCACTTTCCAATCTCCACTACACTTCTAATGGTGTGACTCAAGCGCTTCATGCAGAGAGTAAACAGATACGGTGATAGGGGGCATCCTTGCCGCAGCCCCCTAGATGGTCTGAAGCTCTCTGTGCAACTACCATTCCATAACACTTGCATGGAAGACGAGGAAACACACGCCATGATAACTCTAATCAAATGCGTTGGGAACCCCGCTCCCTGGAGAGTTTCTTGTAGGAACAACCAGTTCAATCTATCATAGGCCTTTGCAAGGTCTGTCTTCCAGGCCATGGCTCCCTTTTTACCTGTCTTCAGCTTCATCAAATGCACCACTTCCTAAAGAATAATGATATTACCATTAATATGGCGTCCCGGAACAAAGCTGGACTGGGTAGGATGAACCAGGCTACGCATTAACGGCTTAATCCTATTGACCAGACATTTAGCAAGCATCTTATACACCATGTTACATAGTCCAATCGGCCGGAACTGGTTGATAAGCTCGGGACTCTCTTTCTTGGGTATGAGAACCAGGAGAGTATCATTAACATCACTAATTCGGTCCGTGATAGACCGATAATTATACATGTTTTCACCCCTATTCTGAAGCCGTTTGTGATGAGGAATCTCGTGTTTTAAGCCGATTTCACGCTAGGTTGTGTGTTTATGTCATATTTCAGGTCCCGGCGTTGGAATCGAGGCGGAGGAACGAGTTCCGGGTCGAAAGGAGCGAAGTTGGGACAAAGGAGGCTATTGCACCAAAATACCCGGCCAAAGGAAGAAATACCCGACCGGGTATTTTCTGGCCTTGACCGGGTATTTCTCACTTCGGGCGTCCGTGAGAAGCAGAAGGGGGCCCGGGCAAATGCCTAAAATCCCCGGTCGGGGATTATGAGAACAGACCGGGGATTTTCCCCTTTAATGAAACGGTGAGTTTGGCAAATACCCGGTCGAACCCCAGAATACCCGACCGGGTATTTCTATCGGGTATCGCGATGGCAGCTGATAAAAGGAAAAGAAGGCCAATTTTCAGAGGGTTCCGAGTTTTTGAGAGGGAAAGCGATACCTAGAGAGAGAAAGCGACGAACCAGAGTTCCCAAGCGCCATAGATCGATCTTCATCACCATTGGAGCCCGGCTTGAGCTTGGAGAAGTGCGATTAAACGTCCAGGAGCAGAAATCCATCTTCACAGTATGATTTCCGCGGCTGAATCTGCTTTTGCTTCTTTCTCTATGGAGTAGTTTCCCCCATTCATCTGGGTATGGGGAACCCTAGATTTGTATGCTAGGTCTGATTGTATGAACCCAAGTACAGAGTTTGTGAATTGATTATATTCGATTGAGGTTTGAATGATTGAATGACTTGAATCCTGATCAAATTCCTGTTGTTTCTGCTTTAACCTAGAATGAGAATATCTGCCTAGGTTGATAGAGTACCCTTAATCGAAGGTGGCGAATTGGTGACTTTAGTGGAGGAGCCAATTCGCTATTCTGTACCGAATTCAATTCGGTAGTGGAGGTTTGGTTCGTTAGGGCCTCAATCTGGTTACTCCGGTGGAGGTTAGTCGCCCGCTAGAGACTCAGATTGAGAGGGTCTGGAGACCTTTAGTCGAGACTTCAGGCTAGTTAAGAACCTTCCGCAATATAACCTTCATGAAAACTGAACTTGGTAAATTGCAATCCGACTTAATTGCAGTCTAGGGGGAACCATATCCGGGTGACCTCTCTTGACTTGACAACAACCGTTTACTTGCTTTGTGTTTTGTTTGCTTGAGTTGCACTAAAAGTTCACCGCTAAATAACAAGAATTCACCGAGTAGTCATCACATCTAGGACCCAGGTTGACAATAAAACCCAAACCCGCTATACTACGCTTTAGGAAGTGGTTGCACTTGGCCATTTTCTAGAGTGACAGTAGGAGTGAGTCAAGTTTTTGGCGCCGTTGCCGGGGACGGCTAGGTTGTTGAAGAAAAGTGATTTCTGTTACTTTAGCATTTTCATTTTTGCATTGAGTGTTTGTTTCTTCCCACTTGTGCCTTCACGGGTTTGCATTGCTTGATTGTGTGCAGATAGTGCATGACCCGTAGCCAGTCGGGAGGTTTACTGCCGTTGAATCCTGAGATTGAGCGCACCTGCAAACAACTTCGAAGACAACAACGAGCTAGACTGGCTACGGTGGAGCGCAGAGACGACCAATTGAGCAGCGACTCCGAGGACGAGTACGAGATGGAAGGCGATCAGAACCCACCTCCTCAGAACCAGATCCTGGGGAACGACCCAAATCCCCAGGGGGCTGGGAACCATCATCATCCACCACCACCGGGTCCCACCTTGGAGTACTACTATACTCCACGGATTGCTGACATCCGCCCGGTCATCCTCTATCCACCCATTCCTGCAAACAACTTTGAGATCAAGCCATGTTGGATTCAGCTCATCACATCCTCTATCCAGTTCCAGGGCTTGAAGGATGAGGAAGCCCGGGTACATCTTTCCCGTTTTCTGAAGCTGACGAACGGGTTCAAGCTGAACGGTTTCCCGGATGACGCAATTCGCCTTCACCTCTTCCCCCATTCTCTGGCGGGGAATGCTAAGAGGTGGCTGGAGACCCAGCCCCCATTGTCCATCACCTCTTGGGACGATCTGGCTGACAAGTTCGTGCACCAGTATTATCCGGCATCGAAGACCACGGAGATTCAGCGGGAGATTACTCACTTCCGCCAAGAGCCAGATGAGTCACTTCGTGATGCATGGGAGCGGTACATGGGATACTTCTGGCAGTGTCCCCATCATGGCTTTAGCGATGCTTTCAC